TTAGAAAGCAATAATAACTAATAAAAACTAGCAAATCCCCTGTAAAATCTAAATAAAACTAACTGAATTAAAAGAAAAAAGCCACAACGAAATAAAACTAAACTAGAATGAAAAATCCAAAACTCCTCGCGGTCCTTGAGCAGATGTGACGAGTACTCTGTTTGTGTTTTTGTTTTTCTCCGCCCATCTTTCCTGTGTGTCTGCGGTGTGAGCAGGCCAGGTGATGACAGCAGGGGTAGCTGAGATACTGAACCGCTACTCCTTAAAGGCGGTACTGAGACAAGTCGCAGGCGAGAAACAAACCAGAGCTGCTGAAGACACATACGACGACAGCTACCTGGGTAACACACAAACACAAACAAACTACACAAACCCTGACCTACATTATAACCGTCCTGATGACAATGATCCAATGAATTAATGCAGATCGTGTATTGTTTCTCTTTAGGTTACTCTGTGGCAGTGGGAGAGTTTACCGGAGACTCYGAACAAGGTGAGAAAACCAACAAACTCATAGGAGAAGCACCAAAATTATCCCTGACTAACAGATCATCAACCTACCTGAAGACCAGTGGTGGGCACAGTTCCCCTAAAGCACTAAAGCACTAATAGTGGAACTAATTTCCTGATTAGTTCTTTAGGGCTTTTGCTAATTTTAAAATTTGTTAGTGGATTAGCACTTGTAAAATTTAAAGGCTAAAKGGAGCAACATGGCAATATGTGACATGTTGTCTGTTGATGCAAGTTCATTTGTTGACTGGGTTATTTTAGTGCTTTAGAATTAGCTTTTGCTAAAAAAAWTTTTAGTGCATTAGTGCTTTAGAATTAGGGGACCAAAATATTTGAGTTAGTTTTTTAGGGCTAGCAGAACTAATTTTTAGATTAGTGCTTCCCACCACTGCTGAAGACAAACTAAAACATTCACCGTTTCCTTGTAGTTTAAAGCTAAACAATGAGGGAGGATTAATACAGTGAGCAATCAGATCAGGGCACAAACATGCAAACATTAACAAGAACTGTTTTTGCATGTGCGGGTCACGACCCTGGAGGGACAAGACTTCAGGAACCCCTGATAAAGGGATTTCCTGCAAGCCTCTCGGACTGATTAGAATGATTGCTGGCAGACCCCACAAACGTCTTCAGGTCAAGAGCCAGTCCAGGTTATCAGCTGGACATGAAATATGGGGTGCAAATAGTAACACAAAAAACACAAATAAAAGAGAGCGTTCTCATTTCTGTACAGTTGTTGCAGAAATAAAAATGAAAAACTCTCACGGTCCAGCTAAGCAAGGGTAGCATGGTTGGTAAGCTAGCAACAAAGTGTTGAGTAATACGCATTAGCAGATTCATGTTTCACCACCGTGCCTCAGAACTGCTTAAAATAACAAAATAATAATAATACTAATAAAAATATAAAAAAATAAAAAAACAGCATGGGGTGAAAGGAGGAAATGTATGGGATAAGTCTTGTGCCAGCAGGAATTGAATTTGAATTGCTCAGATTGTATCTGAA